CTGTCTGGATTTGAAGGCGAAACGTGCGAAGTAAATATCGATGATTGTGTAGGAAATAAGGTAAGAAAACCTTCCTTTACTCTTACCCTTATCCTTGTAGTCTCACTTATTCTGTATCAGCAGTTTAAACTATGAGTGTACTTGGCTTATAAGTTCCTTCATATATTAGGAAGATTGGGAAGGATTCCTTTAAAATCCTTAACATCTGTCTCAATAATTTCATTCTCCGCGTTATAATGTTCTCCTGATTAGTTAGTCTTGTGCTTTCTTCTTCCCAATGGCGGCTAGTGATAATTTTGTTCAGGAGGACGCTGTTTCTGGAGTATTTATTCTGTATCTTTATTTGTTCTGAAGAAGTCTTTATCTATTTAGTTTATGCTATACTCCTCCTTTAATAATACAGAAATTTCTAGATTTTTTGATTGTGCATTATTTTTTTTATTTCTGTGTAAAACTTCTTTGCTTCAATAGTTTTCTACTATCATTTCTAGCCGTTGTTTTCCCTTTTTTTGTTTTCCCTTTTTTTGTTTTCGTTTTGTTTTTTTCTTTTTAGTATCATAATGTGTAGGAACATTTATAAGCTAAAAAATAGACAATATATATATGAACAAGAAATTATGAAAATTATCGAAGAGTACTATAGAACATTATATCGTCGAGACGCTCACATTCCAGAGGTGGAAATCTCAGCCATATAAAATCAGGGATCAGAGGAACTTCCAGATATAACCGAAGAGGAAATCGAATAAGTGTGGAAAGGTATGAAGAACAGCAAATCACCTGGAGAAGATGGCATTGTAGGTGAAATGCTAAAATTAGGAAGCGAATGCGTCATAAAAGCTTTAAAAACCCTTTATAATGTCTGCCTCTTTGAAGGAGTTACACCATAAAAAAAGGAATAGTGCCATTATGATAATATTGCACAAAAAAGGAGAAATTGGAAACTACAGACCTATCAGCTTGTTATCTTTTTTGTATAAGCTCTTTATGAGAATAATTACTAACAGACTACAACCTAAGCTGGATTTTCACTAACCATTAGAGCAGGCCGGATTTAGGAGTGGCTTTGGAACGAATGACCACCTACAAGTAATAAAATCCGTAAAAGAGAAAGTTATAGAATACAACAAGGCAGTGATATTAATATTGAAATGGAAGAGAGCGGAACATGTTGCCAGATTAAGCAGTGCCCTCAAAATGGCTGATAATGACGGTCATAGTGTACCTTTTTTGTCTCTCTTATTTATGATTTTTTCTGTTTGCTTTGTTTCTCTGCTCTAGGCTTCTATTGCTGTTCTATTGTTCCTCAAACCAGTCTTCTTTCTTGTTAATTTCTTTTTTCCCAGTGCTTAGATTCATCACTTCCACGTTGACTGTTTGATTCTAATTCATTTAATTATTTTCATTTAATTTTGTTTTGTAATAATATTTATAGTATCAATGTACATTTTGAATTGAATAATTTCATAATAATAATAATTTCAGTGTCCACCAGCTAAAATATGTATTGATTTGGTCAACGATTATGAATGCAGATGTCCGCCAGGTTTCTCAGGCGATGACTGCAGTATCGGTGTAGATCCATGTGCTCAGAAACCCTGTCATAATGGTACATGCCTTATTGACAAGAATACACATGAAATTATCTGTAACTGTAATCCAGGATATACAGGTTAGTATTTCGTTCTTCCTTCATATTTTTGTGTTTTAATTTATATTCTCATAATACCTTTAGAAAATTTAGTGCCTTATTTTATATTAGAATTATTTATTTAGTTTAAAAGTTGCTCGATGACTTTCTGACTTCATTCGTCGATTGAATGAAGATGCAAAAAAGGAAGAGAAGGATACATTTTTCGAGGAGCTTCAAATGCAAATTGACAATGCGGAAGAAAATATAATTGTAATGGGAGATCTAAACAGTAGAGTCGGAAATAATAACAATGGAATTGAGGAATGCATGGGAAAAGAAGAAGAAATACTAAACAAAAATTGTGAAAGAATAATAGAAATATGTATGCAGAATAAATTTATTATAACAAATACAACATTTAAACATAAAAAAGTACACAAATACACGAGAGTACAAGAAAGCAGAAATGAAAAATCAATCATAGATTACTTTTTGGTAGGTAGCAACAAATGGAAAAGAGTACAAGACACTAAAGTGAAAAGAGTTTCAGAGATTGGCAGTGATCATCTAGTAATAATGATAATGAGAACAGCAAAAGAAAAGGAAGAAAAGAAGAGAAAGGTATTAAATGAAAAAGTAAAAAGCTACAAATTAAAAGAAGAAAGATATAAGAAGATATTCCAAGAAAAATTAGACAATATTTTGAAAGGTAGGGCAAAAACTGCAAGTATAGAAGAGAAGTGGGAAAATCTTAAGACCAACTTAATCATAGCTGCTGAGGAAACTTGCGGGAAGACAAAAATAGCAAATACTAGCATGAGGAGAAATGAATGTTGGACGGACGAAATACGAAGGAAAATAAAGAACAAAAAAGAAAAATGGAAGAGATATCAAAGTACAAAGTGCCCTGAAGATTATGAGGCATATAAAGAAAAAAGAAAAGAGGTAAAATAGCTTGTGAAAGCAGGAAAAGAAAGGTCATGGGAAAAGTTTGGACTAAAAATGACAAATAATTATAGGGAAAATCAAAAACTCTTCTATGGCGCATTAACAGCTCAGACAAAAGAAATATGATGCCGAATATAAAAGACAAGAATGGAAAGGTAATAACAAAAGAAAACCAAATAATGGAAATATGGAGAGAACATTTCAAAAAGCTAACTCATTTAGACGTAGACAACATAGTGGAGATACAAGAAATAAATGAAGAACAAAAAGTAAAACCCATAACAACAGAGGAACTACAAAAGGCAATTGAAAGAGTTAAATTAGGCAAAGCACCAGGCAAGGATCATATCACCCGGAAATGATAAAATTCATGGGAATAGAGGTAGTGGACAGCATGAAAGAACTAATGAATGATATCATAATGAGAGCAGAAATACCACATAACTGGAAGAAAGACATTATACTACCAATACACAAAAAGGGCGACAAAAGAAACTGTAATAATTACCGAGATATTACTATCTCAAGTATTCCTGAGAAGGTATTCGCAAGAATAATAGAAACAATAATAAAAACCCAAATAGAACCAACTATGGAAGATGTACAGGATTCAGGAAGGACAGAAGCACGCAAGACCACATATTCACAATAAGACAAGTAAGTGAGAAAGTAATCAATAAAAATAGAGAAATACATATATGCTTTATTGATCTGAAAAGGAAAAGGCGTTTGACAGAATCCAAAGAAAGGACTTATGGAGGACATTAAAGGAAAGAGGAGTTGACAGGATAACAATTGATGTAATAAATGATATGTACAATAATAATACAAATAGGGTGAGAACCAATAACGAGGAATCCGAAGAATTTACTACAAGTCAAGGCGTCAAACAGGGATGCGTGTTGAACCCACTGCTGTTCTCAGTGGTACTGGATGAAGCAATAAAGAAAGCCAAGAGAAGAATGAGAAAACTAATATTAGGATACTGGCAAATGAAACAGACTCAACTATCAGAGCTTCTATTTGCAGAGGACATGGTTTTGATAGCAGAAAACAGAGAAGACCTACAGAACAACCTTGAAATCCTAGAAGAACTGTCAAATATAAATATGAAGATAAATACAGAGAAAACAAAAACAATGATAATTTCAAATAAGAGAAAGACACACGCAATACAATTAAACGGAAAACAACTAGAACAAGTGGAACATTGTAAATACCTAGGAGTAATAATTGAATCAAACGGTAAACAAGACATGGAAATAAATGAGAGAATGGGACGAACAGGAAGCTTATTTAACACTATGAAAACAACATTTTTGGGGAAAAAAGAAATACCGGATAGACCTACTTAGACCTAGTTAGACCTACTTCTTCTTCTTATTCTTCTTTAGGTACCATCTCCTCTAAGGAGGTTGGTAATCATCACAGCTATTTTCACTTTTCGAGATTGCAGCTCTGAACAAGTCGACGGAACTGCAATTATACCACTTTCTCAGATTGTTGAGCCAGGAGATGCGTCTTCTTCCAATACTTCGTTTTCCCTGTATTTTTCCCTGCATTATGGTTTGAAGCAACACATATTTATCCCTCTCATAACGTGGCCGAGATACTGTAATTCTCTTATCTTAGACCTACAATCATGTATAATAGCGAGTCATAGACATTGACTGGGAGACAAAAATCTCGAGTTAATGCTGTGGAAATGAGGTTCCTGGGGAAAATAGCAAACAGAAAGACGACAGACAAAATACTAAACGAAACAATCAGACAAAACCAAAAACTAGAACCAATAAACGAAAAAATAGTAGTGGGGCAACTAAGATGGTTCTGGCATGTGTGTAGAATGTCAAATGAAAGATTAACAAAACGAGTGTTTGAAACGAGAGTGCAAGGGAAAAACAAACGAGGAAGACCAAGAGCTAGGTGGGTAGACGAAATCAGAAAGAAGTTGAGAAGAAAGGATTGACATGGGAAAGTGCACGAAATGTAACACAAGACAAGTGCAAAACTTTACTCCACCAGCCTTACACCTAACGGTAGAAAGGCTTAGGACTAAGTCAGTAAATAAGTATTAAGTTTAAAAGTTGCTTGATGACTTTCTGACTTGATTCGTTGTTTACCGAATGAAAACTCAATGAGTCGCTGATTAGAATCTAGTGGAGCACAGGATTTTTTCTATAAAAAATAATTTTCACGTTCATCAGATCTGTACCAGTTCGAAGTGCTGCAGTTGTTCGGCATAATATGCAAAACTTAACAAAGTTAGTAAAGACAAGGAAGCCGATTTTACTTAATAACAAGGCATATACACATTTACACAACACCACTGCACAAAAATTATTCCGCTAATAACCTTTTATGATAGATCTTACTAATTAAAAAATAAACAACAATAATAATCGAAATAACATTTAACATGTTTTTAGGTACTCTCTGTAAAGATGATATTGATGAATGTAAAGAGTCCGATAACAAAATTTGCAATCATGGAATTTGCGTTAACTTCGAGGGAAGTTTTCAGTGCTACTGTAAACCTGGTTATACAGGAGAACATTGTAACTTGGACTTCGACGAATGTCTTTCGATGCCGTGCAAGAATAATGCTACTTGCATTAATCTAGTCAATAATTTTGAATGTCGATGTCCGCCAGGTAAGAAATTTTTATATGATTCACTCATTTTGAGTAAAATTCTAAAAATACATTCATAACTTTAGAATAATCTTTTTCGTAGGTTATGATGGGAAGGATTGTTCTTTAAATATAGACGAATGCGAATCGAACCCTTGTATGCACGGCGCTACTTGCATCGACGGCATTAACGAATTCACTTGCGTCTGTCCAGAGGGATTGACAGGAAAACAGTGTGAAATCAACATTGACGATTGTGAATCATCTCCGTGTCTTCATGGTTCTCAATGTATCGACGGTTTGAACAGTTACACTTGTAACTGTACAGACACCGGTTACGAAGGGCTACATTGTGAGAACAACATCGATGACTGCCAGGGAGATCCGTGCCAAAACGGAGCCCCCTGTATTGATTTGGTTAAAGACTATACCTGCAAATGCTATCCCGGGTATAAAGGTAAGCACTTTACTTAATCGTTTGGTACCTTTTTGATATTTTATTTTTGACTTTTGATCTTTAAAAATGTGCCTCATGCTTGGTGGTTGATTGAAAAGGGTGGTCACCCCAGTGGAAAATTCTTGTTTCCTATTCTAATCCATGCTTGCTCAATAATAAAAGAGTGTTTTGGTTATCACGGGACGGGATGAAAAGGATAAGAGACCAGAGTCTGAGCAGGTTGCCAGCAGGTGACAACTGATTCAACAAGAAAGCATGATCCATCATTACGAGTAAAAACATTCCATACAGCATTTGGATCGGATTTTCTTGTTGAATAAAAATTAACAAAAAGTAAACATTAAAAATTCTGTTGCGGAAACGTTCTTAAACCCTCGAGGAAAAAAAATTATAAAATACGATCATCACCAAATATTGTTTCCAAAAACACATACTAAGTCGTTAAAATAGGTGCGGCTGTATATAGATGAGGTTCTACCTTAGACCATAAAAACTGATAGACACGCCTTGTACCGAACCGTTGAAGCAAAGACCTTCCGCGAAAGTGACGTCACAATGCGGCAAGAGTCCGCTTGGATTCTTAGCAAAGTACTAATATAATTACCCAATTTTAGATTAATTTTAATATAACTTCAATATTTTTTAAAAAATATGGAAGATAAATTATTTAGCAAAGTAATTAATAAATATTTTTGCCTTAAATTGAAAAATATATGTTTTATTTGAAAGTACATACCTACATATATTATTATATATATCGTTGGTATATCACTTCTTGTTTGATATTCAAAAATAAATTTAAAGGAGAATAATTTTCTTTTGGGTGGAAGTTTCAGGTTAGGTAAAAAAAGATGTAGTAAATCAATTTATTTATTGACCACAAAACAAAACAGCTTTTGTTAATTTACTTCTAACTCTTATTACATTATTTAGTTTTTCACCTTCGTGGTACAATCTAATGTTGCAATAATGGAAACAAATTATCTTTATTAGATTAAGCAAATGGTTTGTTTCAAATTCATGATCAAAAATATGTTCTTTGTATGCGTATTAATTTTCCTTACCGAAAGTTTCAGAGAGGAATCTTCATCGATCATCTGTTTTTTTTAAGATGTTCTTATAAAGATTTTAAGGTATTTACTTTTTTATAAGCGTTCTATTTCGTTGTTGCAACATTTTGATTTGTTTGTTTTTCTTTTGAATTAATTTGGTTACTACTACTTATACCCCTGGTCTCTGTTAGATGATCCTTGTTCAAAGTCACCAAGATAATGTCATCGCTTTTTCAAGGTAGGTTCTAAGGTAGTTTCGTCTGAAATTTCTACTGGAGTCTTTATGGTGGTAGACTCACACGTTATATTTATATTTTCCCTTTTAGATCCTGTTGGTTTGACTGAAACAGTTTCTCTTTTTTTTTTTGTAGATTTTCTAGTTGTAACTTGCTTAATTAAATGGTTTGGAAAATCGAAAATGCTAGGTACAGCATCTTTTTTTAGTTGTTTTTTTTTTTAACTTCAACCGCTAGTAATATACGAATCCGCTGTGAAATGTTTGAAACAAATTTTAGAACTCTTTGTTGGTTTAAAATTTTCACGGCGCATCGCTATAATCCATTTTTTTTGCAATGATGAATCTTTAGGAAATCTAAAACAATTTATTTACTTAATCCTTTAGTTTTCAATCTAATTATAAAATGAAAATTATATATAAGATTCTCTATCTCATATGTATCTATTTTAAACAGTTTGGGAGGAAAAAGTAAAATAATAGGTGCTAAATTTCTGGTACGTTTTTCAAGTTTAATTTGTGAATTTACTTACCCATGAAATGATATATCTGTCCCTTTTTTATCGCTGCCTACAATTAAATGCACTGCAAGATGCCACCATAATTAAAATATTAATGTATTGGAAAATTTTTAAATTGAAACACTTTAAAAAGTTTACAACGCGTATAAACACTTCTAATCTCTACCGTTTCTGCCGCAAACTGACGTCACCCACAGCTGAGTGAATCGTTTTATGTTGGCTTCACTCCTCGAGACGAGAGAATAGCATTACGGCGCGTCTATCAGCTTTTATGGTCTAAGGGTTCTACTTTATTCTTTATTTTTATCCGTGAATTTTTGGATGACAAGATATAATAGATAGATCTTTATTTAAATAGAAACCCTAATATAAATACAATATAAAGAAAGTACACTATAAATTTTTGACATATTGTTTAAGTAACAGTTTGAAATTTAGAAATGGGAACAAATGGTAGTAAAAAAGGGGAAAAGCTAATAAGATGAATAAGAATTTTAAATACAAATAAAAAACGTAATGACTATAACTTTACCCATTTAGAAGCAAAGACAGATGAAATAATTTAATTTTTAACGTTTTAGGTAAAAATTGCGAAGTCGATATAAACGAATGTGAAAGCAATCCTTGTCAGCACAACGGAACTTGCATCGAACGTTCTAACGTCACCCTGTACTCCTCAGAAATGTCGTACAATCTTCCCGAACGGTTTTCCAGGCCATTCAATTATTCGGAAGCTGCAGGATATGAATGTATCTGCGTTCCGGGGGTGACAGGCCAAAACTGCGAGATTAACATCAACGAATGCGAAAGCAATCCGTGTTTCTACGGTACTTGCACGGACAAAATCGGAGGGTACGTGTGCGAGTGCGAAGAAGGCTACGAGGGTATCCATTGCGAGTTGGATATAGACGAGTGTGAGAAATATAAACCTTGCGTGAATGGTACCTGTATCGATAGGGTAGCCAACTATTTCTGTCAGTGTACCGCCGGATATGGAGGAAAGAACTGCTCGGTTGAACTTACAGGGTAAGTATGATGGGTAGATTTTATTTTATTTATAGTAAGTAGTAAATGCGGTACCACTGTATCCATATCGCCAATTTTAGTGCTTTAATGTGTAGCCGTTTGACTGTGAGACAAAATATTAAAGAAACTCAGTAAATACATAAAGCAACTAAGACGAGTTCACCGTTATGTCAAACTCAGAGGCGTTACTTACGGTTTATTTGTGTTTAGAACTAATTGTTCAGGACAAAATATTGCAAATATAAGTATGACGAACCTATTTCTTTTAAATTCATCATCTTTGGTTCGACAATCCTCTGTGGATCTTGGCCTGCTCGTAACTGATTTTTTAGCATTTACTGATTTAAATGATTGCCTTGTGGTATAAAGCATTATGAAAGATTGCAGAATGACGATGATGAAGCATTTATCACAGTACCAGATATTACCCACCAGAGTTTGGTATTTTGAAGTACTCTAACATGTTTTCCTAATTTAATGTTGCCTTCTAAAAGTAGTTCCCAAAACATACTGGCACCCATGATCATGTCAACCTTATGAGGGGTATTAAAAGTGTGATCAGACGATTGGACATTTTGAGGAATGAAAATTGTAGAAATATCCCATTGTTGTAACGGAGTAGTTGAAATGAATGTTTGACAAACATTCAACAACTACATCACCAACAACGAATCGTTGGACAAACACTTCGGTAATCAACTGAATCGAACAGAGCTCTACATTGATGCAATTGATTGTTGTGGTCTTTATCCTTGATTGTTACTGTCGACAGAATTATATTTGATTGTGAGACCCTGAGACGTAGTCTCTATTAGGACCATAAACTCTTTAAACGGCTACGTCTCAGAGCCAACAACCCCAATTTGAGAGTATTACGTTGCCATTAAGTTAATTCGGTTTAAAACTTTAACATCCTATAAAATTATAAGCAACAATATAATTTAAAATTAATTAAATAACATTTAAAGGCGTTGTACCTTATATACTTAGTAGCAGCACTGATGATCATTTTTATAAAGGATTTTTTTATTAAAATTTTTGTGATTTGTGGTATACAGCTGACCACAGGAAATTCATTTTACGTGTGAAAGTATTAGAAAATATGAGTAACTTTTAAAATAATAATGGGTACTCCAATCACAAGTTAGTAAAAAATGTAAACATACTTGTATCCGCTCACACCTGTTCTCGCCAGTGCGAACAATCTACTCGCAATGACAATTTTAGTGGATAATGACCAATCCTAAAAGTATTACATTTTATTTGAATTGTATTCGACTTGTTTTATAGTAATATTCTTGTGATTTTAGGTGCATGGATAATCCTTGTCTAAACGAAGGACAGTGTCGCCCTTACCTTATTAACGAGACTGAGCATAAGTTCAATTGCACTTGCCCCAACGGCTTCCACGGCTACACATGTGAACAAATAACGACGATGTCATTTAGTGCAGTGTCTTCAGTAACGGTTAACACAACAAGAGAAGAAGGTTACGATATACAATTCAGGTTTAAGACTACACTAGGGGATGGACTATTGGCTCTTGGAAAAGGTTTAACGTATTACATATTGGAGCTTTCTAAAGGAAGACTGAATCTTCATTCGAGCCTACTGAATAAATGGGAGGGGGTTTTCACGGGATCAAATCTGAACAACAGCGATTGGCAGAAAGTGTTCGTTGCTATAAACTCTTCGCATTTAGTACTGTCGGCCAACGAGGAACAAACTATATATCCTATAAGCTATAACGAGAATAACAACGTTTCGAGTACTAGCTTTCCCGTTACGTATATTGGAGGAATTCCCAACAATCTTCGCAAATTGACCCATGGACAACCGTTTCTAGTTGGATGTACTGAAGATGTTTTGGTTAATAGCCAATGGGTATTGCCGCAACTTAGAAATGCCACTTGGCTTAATTTTCAAAATGTCGAAGAGAAGTGTATTAGAGAACCACAGTGTACGCCGAATCCTTGTGAATCAGGAGGACATTGTACTGATCGGTAAGACTAATGTTTGTTTTCTCATTCTCTTCGCTATAAATAAATTTTCTCGTTTTTAGATGGAGAGATTTTAGCTGCACTTGTGAACGTCCATATTTAGGTCACACTTGCCAGTACAACTACACAGCTGCCACGTTCGGTCACGAAAACATTACAGATTCTTTGGTAACGGTCGACGTAGCAGATTATGCAAGGAGAGCCGTCAGATCTATCGTCGATATCAGCATGTTTATTAGAACAAGACAATCTAGAGGACAGATTTTTTATTTAGGTATGTTATAGAACGTCATTACATCTATATATGTATATATATTTTTGTAGTCTAGGATTTTATTAAATTAAAATAAATGCATTGAGTTTGATCCAATCAGGGGACACTAATAAATCAAACGAAAATTTATGTATAAATTTGTTTCCATTTCTTAGCAAAGCTTTGCTGTATCGTCAACAATAATAGATAGAAAGATAATAATTTTGTAATATTTTCACTATTTACCAGAGATTTTGTTTTATAGGCTCCGGTTTGCTTCCAAATCCAAACGACGAAACTTACATAGCTGCCCAACTTGAAGGAGGAGAATTATTAGTAAGAATACAATTCGAAGGCAATTTAGAAAGTTATACCGTGGGGGGAGTTAAGTTAGACAACGGATGGAACCATCTAATAAAGGTAAATTATTTCACACAAAATAATTATTACATTAATATAAGGTTGAATGTTCGAATAATTAAACTTTGAGGGTGTACAAGGCAACTATCGAACACAGTGATTAATTTAATCTTGCCCAAGTACTTTCGATCAATAGATCATCTTCAGGGGCATCTGAAATAAGCCAAGAAACGTTTTTTATAAAAAGGAAAATTAATTCACTTGGATAAAAAAACTCCAAGTTTATGGTTGAAAAAAATTTTTATATGTGATAAACGTTTATAGACTTACTTCGTCAATTGTGGCCTATCCGACATAGTAGAATGTCATAAATGTAAAATCTGGACATAACAATACAAAATACACTACACTAAGACAAACAAACACTTTAAAATTTATATGGAGAAGCTACATATTGTGAAGAAGCCGGAGACAGAATGGGCTCCCGGTCTGACGGAAATGTAGAGATGACATGTGACAAATGACAGCTTATGAAGGGCAGTTATGTGATCTGCACCTTTCAAAATTCTATGACACTAAGTATTGACCAAAGGTCCAACTGACACCACTATAGGAAATCGACTGATGAAATATAAAATTATAATTAATTTTCCTTTTTATAAAAAACGTTTCTTGGCTTATTTCAGATGCCCCTGAAGATGATCTATTGATCGAAAGTACTTGGGCAAGATTAAATTAATCACTGTGTTCGATAGTTGCCTTGTACACCCTCAAAGTTTAATTATTACATTATCGATCAACATTACTTCCTGCATGGGTATTTTTCCAGTGGTTATTCATGCATTTTTATTCTTGTCTGAAATAAATATATTAGTTCGAATATTATTTCACAGCTCTGAACTTCTCTTCTCTTTTTTTAGGTTATACGCAATGTAACTTTAGTCCAAGTAAAACTTAATAACACAGAATACTTCCGAAAGACCATATCCGCTTCAGGGCCTTTAGACGTTCGAGTACTTTACCTTGGAGGTCAACCGCAATCGAGGTCAATCAGACAGGCCAATGAAAATCTACCTACTGTTACAAAAATTAATATAGCTCCCACGGCCCCGGCAGCTATAAGCTCTCCGCTCAGTAACGTACACTTCAAGGGGATTATCCAGGATGTTCAAGTAAGAATATTATTAGTGGTTTTTGTATTATATATCTTACGTTTTGTAGCACTTCTATATGGTGCCGAAGAGGGGTATAAGCTAATTTTTAATTCGATTTAATGTTACTTTTTATCCATGTTGTATATATTGATCATCTCATCTCAATCTTTGATTTGTCGAATGCAAAAATGTCTGGGATAATGAGCACAGAACACAATGGAAAGATGCATCAATAGTCATAAAAGAACCAGACATGAAAAAGAGCAAAATCCAAGAAGCAGCTCTCGTCTTACTCAATGAAGAAACATATCAGCAGAATGTAGCAGGCTCTGCTTAGTGCTTACCAACACTAAAAGAAGAAGTCAGTCTTACCAAACATATTTTAAAATAGGTTTGGGGAGGTCCAGGAAAAAAATTTGTCGGAACTTAGTTTTATGCCTTCATCAAGTGAATCAAATTAAGTATGATCGTATTACGAAGTTCTGCTAAAAGCCTTTGTATGCATTTTAGTTGTGTTCTTCAGCCAGTTTTTTTAAGTTAGGTTCACGCTGAGAGCAGCTAATGCGAATACTGTCCTCAAGGTGAGCGTCTATTAATATTGATCGATATTTGTTCTTTCTAAAAAATTCATTTTTGAAAACAAAGTTTCACAAAGAAATTTGGAGCCAAACATAGTAACTTCCTACAAGTTTATAATCTCCATTTGGAACAAGGGCTTTGAAATGGAGAACAAATTCGCAGCAATATCACTCCATTTTCATGCCGGAGGAACTGCAAAAGGCGCTTTTAAGAATGCCTACAACTTTTCTACCTCTTTAAAGTCTTCTAATCTTCTTGCCAATTACTTTTTAAGAATTGAAAAAGACTGTAAGACTTGTACACACTTCTAAATAGGTCTAACTGGTAAGCAGGTTTTGTATGTTTTCAATAAAATTGATAGTGTTCAAGATCTTGTTGATGGAGACATTTATTATGTCGAAAGTATACTCAGCTTAATTAATAAATTATTTTACACACTATCAATTTTATTGAAAACATACAAAACCTGCTTACCAGTTAGACCTACTTTTTAAGAGACCTTCAATGAAATCTAAAAATTTGAAACGTCTATTTCTGATTTAGAATTCTTCTTATGTTCAAGGGTTGTTGGAAAGTTGAAAGTTGTTTTCGGCCTTCCGCGGTCCGGTTTTGGACCGCGGTCCGCCAGTTACCGACCGTTGAACTATAGGTTATAATAACAACTGTCTAATTTAAAATATTCTTTTTTGAAAACTATTTTCGGAGTTGAAATTAAAACGTCAACAATTATTATAAAATTAATGAGTAAATGTAGTGGGTGAGCTTTTAGACAGTTATTTTAGAAAATGTATGTCGTTGTTTTTTAAATCGAAAAATATTCATTTGAAATTTGGCTACAATAAAATTTCTAAACCAAGAAAACGCGAATGCAAAGGAATGTTGCTATGAAAGGTTGAATTGTGATAAAAAATAGGTATAATCGAGAATATATATATATATATATATATATATATATATATATATATATATATATATATATATATATAATCGCTATATTATCATTTCGTTTGACTTTCGTAAGACAACATAACTTGAAACAAACGTGTAACTTTTAAAAATATTTAGTTTAAAGATTATTATGTTTGTGTGATTTGTTTTAAAACTGATGATGGAAAATTAATTCGTTTTATGGAAAAAATATTATTGAACCCCGCAGTATTACCGATCTGTCAAAACCATATGTGACAGTTTAAAGTTAAAGACATTACCTTATCAGAAAATATGAATTAAAACGTATGCCATAACGCATTATGTTACAAGAATTTCCAACAGTTGCACGCTTGCAGTCAATTGGTCACTTGGTCTCAAAAGAACATGCCAGGCGATATATGCTATACTGCGATACTATGCGATTTTTAACATTTTATCGAATGCTGTATTAAAATTTCAGGTAATATTCACAACTTCGTTCTTCGTCTAACAAGATCTAGGACGTCAAGAACCGGCTGTTATATGAATTTCTTTGTGAATGACCAACCGTAGTACAGTTGTCGATAAAACTTCTTCGTAGGGTGCCTGTCCGTTTTGAACGTTGGCGATCATTCTGGCTATGATGACTTTGTTGGTTGCTGAACGGAATAGCTGTGTTGAGGTCTTTCTATACCATGCTCTCAGGTTAGCAAGTCAGATATTCTTCTTCATCCTGGGGTCCTTTTTCCTTCAATTTTACCTTGCAAAATATATTGAACTAGCTCATATCTACCTTGATTTCTCATTATATGTCCCAAGTACTACAGTTTCCGTCTTCTATGTCCACGTTTTTACTCCGTATAGAAGCACTGAGTACACGTAACATTTAAGGAACCTTATTTTTGTTTCTAGGGTGAGGTCGTGGCTCTTGAACACAGAGCTCATAGTTAAGAATGCGCCTTTCCGATGCGACATTTAATCTCTTAGGTATTGTCCCACGACTCATTGATTATAGTTTCTAAGTAGTTGTACTGTGAGACACGTTCAATTCTCATTTGGTTCACATACAGATTTGCTCCAGTTATGTTTTCCGTGTTGATGATCATTAGCTTGGATCATCTGCATACCGGAGTTTATTGAGCTTAACTCCATTTATTGAGATGCTTTCATCAATATCTTTTAGAGCCTCTTCAAAAATATACTCCGAGTACAGATTGAATATCAGTGGAGAAATTATGCATCCCTGTTGTCTCACTCCCCTTAAAATTTGGACCTGATCTGCATATTCTCCATCTATTCGGAGCACCGCTGCTTGATTCCAATACAGGTTAGCTATTATTTTTAGGTATCTTCCATAAATCCCTGTCCTCTTCAGCACTTCCATCATTTATTCATGCCTAACTCTTTTGAAAGCCTTCTTGTAGTCAATTGGGCATGCAAAAATATTACAGCTGATATCTCTACATTTCTGAAACAATATTTGCACCTGTTATTATTTTTCTTTGTTCTGCGTCGAATAGCTCTTTGTTCTTCAGCAGTTCTGCAGGAATTTCATCAAGTCCCGGTGCCTTTCCGTCCTTCATTTGTCCGACGGCTGCCGTTATTTCTTCTGGTAGGATTTCGGGACCTAAATTTTCTTCAATAATGGGTTCTTGTATTGTTCTAAGGTCGTGGAAAAGGTTCTCCCAAGTATTCTTCCCATACTTTCTTTTTATCTTCTTTGTTTATGGCAAGATTGCCTTCATCATTTGTTATTTTTCCGCTGTTGCGTTTTTGGAACTTTCCAGCTATTTCCTTCACCTTTAGATGGACATTGAAGTTATCATCAACTCTGATACTCCTCTTTTTCTTGGCAGTGTTCTGTTTTTTTTTGTTTCTCTTTGGCTTCTCTTATCTTTCTTCTGAAGATGGTATGTATTCTCTTATATTCTTGGAGATTTTCTTTGTTTTGGAATTGAATATCGCTACAACCATAGCCATTTGATTCTACTAGGGCTTATCCAATCCGGATCTTAAATGAAGTCTCTTGTCCCAATCTTTCTTACTCATCTCTATGCCGTTGACCGCTTCCACGGTTTTTCCGCGTTTGAAGTCAGTTTTCCAACTCTAGGACAAAGGGGTTCCCTACCGTTTACTAGCTCCTCCGCCCGAAGCAGTTAACCAGTAAACGAGGGATTGCTTATACCTGCAATCGTTCGGTGGAATTTTCGCCATATCTGCGATATCATACCCTCACTTAGTTTAGCCTGCAGACCAACGCAGTTGCCGGGGGTGTGGCACGTGGAGCCATAATTGAGAGTTAGTTGTCTTATGAGAACCAGTTATCAATAACCATCTACCGTCTATGACACTCGATGTGGTCGTTCCAATACAAGGTGCTACCTCTATAACACAACTCTACACCCCATATCGATAAAAACAAGACTCTCTTATAGGTCGTTTCTTTACATTTTTTTGTGCGCACGCGTCAGTATTAGCCATTTTTAGTACTGTTTTTTGTAATCAAGCATGTTGACAGTATCTGTGAACACATCATTAAGATAAAAGAAAACACTAAAGAAAGTATAGTTTTTGAAAAAATTACCTCAATTAGCCAATATTTTTTTAAATCGATAAATATTATATCTAAAAGAACAACGAAGTATGTAAGATATATACACGATGTATATCATTTTAAGGCATATCATATTATTTTATAAATTTTCCAAAGCAAAAAGTTAATTTTCTAACGGTTTTTATGATTTGTTCATTCTCATTAATGCGGTTTCATTACGCGCTTTGTCCTTTCAACTAGTACACAATTTGTAAACCCACAATTTGATGCTTCTAGCTTTTTAAACATGCATCTCTTGTGGTCTATGCTTCTGCTCCCTAGAGCAGCGCGTAAACCCATAACACTTCCGTATTCTGATCTTCTGTAACAGATACAACCAATATTAAATTGTATATGTTCAATTCTTTGATTTACAACACCATATAATATATATATATATATATATATATATATATAATATATATAATATATATATATATATATATATATATATATATATATATACCGTTTTGACTGCCTTATATGAAACAACCTAAACTTCATTAATTTTCAGATAAGCAACGGTTCATCTGTAATGATTGTGGAGTTTTATCCGCTCCAGGCTCAAGACTTAGACGTTCCCGCATCTTTTGGCAACGTAACGTTCGATAGATCGACTATATTGAAAGGAGTCTATTCAGACGACCTCTGTAGGACGAATCCTTGTCATAGAGGAGAATGTAAAATAACTTGGAACGATTATATGTAAGTCAAATAAATGATTTTCAAATGACAAAAACTATCGAAACTGTTAATTTTTTTAGGTGTGTTTGTCCGATTGGTTTCAAAGGTAAAGATTGCAATGAATTAGAATTCTGCAAATTGCAAGGTTGTCCAGCCGGATCCGAATGCAAGAATCTAGAAGATGGTTACGAATGTATAACGAATAGTACTTTCAACGGTCTACAGAAACCTCTTCAATATCATTTAACGATAGATCCTTCAGCCGACAACAATTTCGTGTATGATTCTCTAGAACTGAACTATCGTACTCGTTCATGGGGTACCGTTCTGTTCGCAAAACATAAAGATAGTTATTTTACCGTTTTCATTTACCACAACGAGGTAGTGATAGAATGGAACTTGAACGGAATGCCAGAAACGAAAAGGTTCCGTAAAGATAGGTTCAAGGGCCAATGGATATCCTTGCTGTTCCTTTACAAAAACCAAAAATTCAGAGGTGGTTTTAAAGAGCATGTTATGGACGAATCGTCCGATTTCGAAGTGAAGGAGTTCGACATTTATACTTTTACAGAAGTATTCAAAGACGGAGATGTATACGTCGGTGGTAGTGATGGTCAAACTTTTGATTATCAGACTGTGATCGACAATACAGATACAAATATGACTGGGTACATTCCTGTTAGTGATACTACTACAGCCGAATCTCTCATTAGTAATTCGTTAGAAAGCAACGAGCTATCAGAAGACGTATTGCTATATAAAGTGGACCAAGATAAGAAGACTGATAATTTTAAGGTAAAATAAATATTTTGTTATAATTATATATATATATATATATATATATATATATATATATATATATATATATATATATATATATATATAATTCTATAATTTTTACATACACTGCGCGTCACGAAAAAGAGGCCACTTAGAATTTTGTAAGAATTTTTTAATAACTTTAAATTTATACAATTTATTCTATTGTAACTAAATTCCCACAATGCAGAAACACTTTTAGCGTCTTTTAGGCACCGACAAACGATGCCGACAGGTAAATTAAGGGTAATAAAATCATGAATTTGTTGCTTGTGTGAGGCCATTTCAAATAGGTAAAGAAATAATAAATAAGACTTACTCACAATCAATTTAATTTAACTATCAGACGACCGGTTTCCCTTTCTACAATATGCAAAGCATCTTCAGGTCTCGATACAAAGTTAAATACATGCTGAAATAATAATAAACCCATATTAGGGCGTTGTTTAATAAAGATAAACAAAGTAGATGGTATAAAATTACAATAATAATGCCAATATTACATGTCTGTGGTTTTTCAAAATGAATAAAAAGGTTAAGTTTAAAAATTAAGTTTAATTGTTTTAATTATCAATTAACTTTTGATATCTTAATTAAAACAATTTAGAGACATTCATTAATATCAGCATATTTCATAAAACTAGATAACTAAACTTACAGTATTGAGAAATAGAAGAAGAACTGTCACATTTTAACCTACATATGTCAAATTTACCTCTAAAATCTAATAGATAACATAAAAAACTCATTGTCTCCAAGACTAAGATGTAGCGCATAAAAGTCCTTCCCCCTTTTTAAATTTAATGTTTGCTTTGCCCCTTCTAAGTGTTTTATGTTCCTGTGTGTTTAAATTGTCCTTAATGGTTTTAACTTTAATATTTTTATATACTTGACTTTGCAATAATCTACCATTTTGCCAATAGAACTTTATCAAAGAAATTTGATAATTACAAGTTGAAAGAATCGCACACCCACACAATTTGTATATCTAATCTTATTCATTGTCATAAAACTGTCATCTTCATAAAATAAATACTCAATAAATAACACACATTTCATAAATATATCTCTTGAATATGTATAAATAACTTTTAAATAATACAATGGTATATAACATCACTTTCATCTAACAAACAATCACATTACACCTATCTCTACTTCATTGGATCAAATCTATCTCCTCAAGAACTTCCCGTTTATTGTCAAACAACTACAATAGCAGACTTAAGTTCTCCATTCAACAATACATGATAGTTTCAACCATGTTCCACCATCCATCAATTAATAGAGTACCGACATGTAAGTAATGTTATATTTATTTGCTCATTTATTAATTTATTACAATCTAATAGACTTTTTTATAACAATTTGTGGGTCTTACCTTGTCTGTTAAAACTTTTTATACCTTTTTATTAATTTTGAAAAACCACAGACATGTAATATCGGCATAATTATTGTAATTTTATAACATCTACTTTGTTTATCTTTATTAGACAACACCCTTATATGGGTTTATTATTATTTCAGCATTTATTTAACTTTGTATCGAGACCTGAAGATGCTTTGCATATTGTAGAAAGCGAAACCGGTCGTCTAATAGTTAAATTAAATTGATTGTGAGTAAGTCTTATTTATTATTTCTTTACCTATAAGGGTAATAAGTTTGCAGAATTGATATCAGTTTTACGACTTCGGATAATGCACGTGTTGTTTGTACCTTATTTTTCTTGCAATATGGCTATTCTGCTTTTCAAAAACCTTTCACTAGTATACAGTTGTTCGAAGAGTAAACTTGTGCAATTTTTAAATTAAAAACTATGGCTGAATTTTGGCTGAAATTTGCTAGATCTGTTCAAATTGTTACTTTGATTGGTAATGGAATGAGTCAAAGAGAAGTGGCCAGACAGCTTGGAGTCAGTCGTTGTATGGTCCAAAAAATTTACCAACCATTCGTAGAGACTGAATCTCACGAACGACGACAAGAATCAGGCCTGAGAAGAATCTCGACGGTCAAAGAAGACGCATTTCTTTGCAAAATCGGTTCTTTACGGCCAGATCAATCCAAAACCGTTTTCAAAATGCTCACGGGTGCACTTCTACTGCGAGAAGAAGGTTGAGGAAATTTGGTCTAAGGGCTCGCTATCCAGCAACAGGACCTTTGTTAACAGTAGCACATCCACAACGCCGACTACAGTTTGCTACAGACCACGAGCATTGGACGATAGAAGATTGGGAAAATGTTTTGTTTATTGATGAGTCCAGGATGGTTCTTTATGGCTCAAATGGTCGCATCAAAACATACAGAAGACGTGGGGAACGATATGCTGCTTGTGTTTGACGAGTACATGTTGCTTTTGGAGGAGGTTCGGTAATGTTTTGGGCAGGCATTTTATTCGAGGACCGTACTGATCTCGTATTTATTACCGAAATTCTAGACGAGCATGTAATGCCTTTTGCTGGGTTTGTCGGCGAAAACTTTATTTTTATACAAGACAACGCGCGGCCACACGTAGCCAGGATGCTAACGTAATATTTTTAAACAGTCGGTGTGCCAAAAATGAACTGGCATGCTCAAAGTCCAGATTTGAACCCTATTGAACATGTTTGGGACCAACTCAAACGAAGGGTAAGAAACAGAATACCTACTCCAATAAATCGTGAGCAGCTTCGGTTAGCGCTCATGGAAGAATGGGAAGCTTTTCCTCAAAACGACATTCAGAATTTGATCAATTCAATGCCAAATCGAATGAGGAGTGTAAATCACAATAGAGGTGGTAATACACAGTATTCATAATCACGACTTAATTGTAATTTTATAAAGAAAACAGAAAAAATGTACAATGTTAATTTTTTTTTATTTTTCAATAAAATTATAATTTTGGCAGAAGTTATTTTTTAAGATTTGTTATTTAAAAAATGATTGCATACTGCTTTAGAACATATTTTTAAACATTACACAAACATCTAATAATGACAATCACTGTGGTATGATCCGTAAAAATCAAAAAGTGGCAAAAATTTTAGGTGGTCTCTTTTTCGTGACGCGCAGTGTATTTTAAGAAGACATTTTATATTTTGAATGTAGTGTTGTTATTTTCTGAGTTGGATGCTGCAACAGTCGTAACCGTATTTCCCTCATTGATTATTTCTTGAATATCTGCACCTTTACATATTTTGTGAGGAAGAGAGAAAGTGAGTGAGTGTGTGTGATAGAGAGAGAGAGAGAAAGTGAGTGAGAGAGAGAGAGACAGAGAGACCTAGAAGAGAATAGTAACCACAACGACAACTATTTGGATATCTAAAATATCAACAAAGAAAATAATACCTGAGAAACACACTTCACAGAGAATTATATACAGATTGAACGAATTTAAAACGGATCATACAATTTAATATATGTCTGTTTGAACTGCATTTGAAATAGTGAAATACCAATATAAAACTTGGACAAAAATAAATCCATACCTGGGTTTAGACATTTTATAAAATATCGTTCAACTATCTGTTTCGCAACAATGTTGTTTGCGTAACAATGTTGCCAATCGCCGTGTAATAATCCGATTTGCGGATCTTTTTGAGAGTTATATCTTCTTCGTATCTTTAAATAAATCGGATATTTGCCTATATTTTTCATTGTATCTACCAATCTACTACAACAGACTAATAACAAAAATAAACTTAATGGTTTGTAGTTATTTTCTCTTTTTCTTGTAATTATTTTATGGATAACACCTTATTTGAGAAACATTTAAAGGAATGACGTTGGCAACACCGCTCACAGAAGGTCTTGTCTAAAGAAGCGATAACTGGTTTGACAGCATAATAAAATCGTAGATTTATGTGTAGCTTTCAATTTTTATGATTTCAGAATCCAGCAGCCCGATGAAGTATTGGATTTTTATAATATAATTATTTGACAACCTTTTGTTGGCCAACCACCTACAGCAAATTGAGCCGAAATACATAATATTTCGTATGTTCCGAATTTATTTCGTTCAATCTGTAGATGCAAATAACGCTCTGAAGAGAAAAATGTGCCCGTTAACATGTACTACTAATCGCAGAGACTGCGCCGCCATGGGACACATATCTTACGTCTTCGTAGACCTCTTTTGTCGTGTACCTTACCCTGCAGCAGTTTTGGAGCAGGCTGTACCGATGTTCGTTGCGCAGTTTGAGTCGTTTTATAACTATGCTTATTTCGCGATCCTTCTTCATTCTTTGCAAGAAATGTAACATAAATTGTTAGTTGATTTTTAATGAATTATTATTTTTGAATTTAAGGGCTGCTTAGGCGAATTAAGAATAGGAGGGTTACTTCTTCCCTATTTTCACACTTTAGAAATCTACCCGAACAAGACCAACCTTAAAAAAATGTACGAACTGAAAGACGAATTTACAGCCGAACAAGGATGCATTTTGTGTTATTCGGTGGACTGTCTGAATAAAGGCGTTTGTCTAAATAGTACTGAAACATACAAATGCCATTGCCAACCAGGATATACAGGCGACGATTGTTCCATCGATATCGACGAGTGCCAGAACAACCAATGCCAAAATAACGCTACATGCGTCGATCTAATCAACGAATACAAATGTGAGTGTTTAGCTGGGTACGAAGGAGAATATTGTGAAACCGACATCGACGAATGTCTCAGCAATCCATGCAGACACGGAGGCACTTGTAATGATTTAATTGGAACGTTCAAATGTGATTGTCCCGAAGGTTTTGTTGGTAAGTAATTTATTTTACTGGTAATTTGAACTTTTGCGCATTTGCACAATCTAACCTAATATTTCTAAATTAACTTAAACCCACCTGACTTACCCGAGTTCAACCTAACAATCCATTCTAACACAACATTACTTAACCTACTCAAAGTTTACCAAGAAACTGGTTGATAATTTAGTAAAAATATTTTTAACAAGTAGGCAGTTTTTGTAAAAATCTTGTTCAAAGTTAACATATAGTAAAAATGTGTTTTATGTGACCAACCCTCTTGTAATAAAACACCCAATAAAGGTATTGTTTTGTGTTAAACTAGAGGTCGCTGGTTAAATAAATTAGAATAATAACGAAGAAAAAAATGCAATATTTTGATTGTGAATAAATTAACAATTAATTTAAATATTACGAAAACTAGCTGGCTTTACGCATTGCTTTTATCTGTACAAAGAAAAGACTTACCATTGAAATATTCGTGTATTAATCGTAGCAGACAGAATAGTAGCTATGCGTCCATCTCGCATATGTCCATCTCGATAGAAAGTGTGTAGTTCTTGCTATAAAATAGTCAGAAACTCTCTGGCCATACTTCTAGTTTGTCCGTAGGGCAAGTGAGTCAAGTGCACACCCATAAATCAACCAAAAAAGAAGTGAGGTTTTTTGAACTTAAAAACAGACTACATGTCGTACCCTCAGTAATATAGAGGCACAATTCAAAAAAGTAGATTTGTGGGAAATCGCGTTTAAAGATTCTGGTATCCGACATTACAGCTATTTTTTCAAATAACATGCTTATTATTTAAGTTATAAATATGAAATTTGGCAGATTTGTTATTTGATAACTGCACTAAAAATTGCAATGAGCAAAGAATAATAATATAAATAAATTCTATTAATTACAAGGAATGGAAAAAACTACTTTCGAGTTAGTCCCGTATAGTATAAAAAACCATAACAGAAATAAGAAACTATTTAAGTTTGATCCCTTATATTATTAGTGTCCCTGCCACTGTTTAATTTTTAATCGTAAATGGTACTCTATATCATCAATCCCAACCGATGTTTGAATTTATTGTTTCTGTTTTATAAATAAAATATCAGGTAAAATAATAGTAATACTTTATTAATCAGTGCAAAATATAACAATAATCTAAAAATTATTCAAAACAAGAGTTAAACATAATAAGATAGCTTTAATATTGTCACATTTATTAGTTAAACGTTTTAATTCCAAATCAAACTTACAAGTAGGAACTCCTCAATTTTTACATTGTCGTTTACTTATTACTTAATTGTATATCACAATATCTCCACAGTAAACTTAAAAAATTATACATAACAAAAAAACATTCATTCCTCCATTCTAAACTTAGAAAACTGCACATAACAAAAAAATTCATTCTAAAAAATAAAGTCTTCAAAAATAAAATTCAGTCTCAAAACTTAATTATTGTACTTTGACTATGTACTCAGTCTACACAAAATAATGTTGAAATCCCAAAGATTAGTAATATTAAGACAACATGTTGTTATAATAAGACGCATAGTATGGATCTATCAATTGTTTATTAATAAGATCCTTAAGATCATTCTTTTTTAGCACAACTAAGTGGAAGTGCCTGGAGGTAAACTTTCTGCATGGTTATTTCTTTAATATTTGGCATTCTCTTCCTCTTATCACGAACATTAACTTTTTTAAACTCATTCTTATATGAGCACTTGTAATAAAACGAAAATGGGTCTTCTTTGGTAAATTTCAGTACTTTAATACTATTCCATACAAGATTATTTTTCTGTTCATCTGTATTAAAATTATAGCCCCAATTTTCTTGTAATTTCTGAAGATCGTAAAAAACATTGTAAGTTAAACTGTGAACTATAAATGGAGCACCAGTTTTCCTTGCTCTTTTGATTGCTGGGATGTATTGAACAGGAGAGTATATTGGGCCGGTTTTCCTATCTCTAGCTATCTGCTTTTGTATCAAACTATGCACGTTATCAGCTTTGTTCTGAGTGTGCCCTTTTATGAGATATTTGTGAGTTATCGACGACAAATTTTTTAGATTGGCAACAGCGTATAAGTATAAGCATGTGAGATATTTATTTTTGTTTTACCCAAAACAGTTATCGGAAAAAAATGTTATATTTACTTCCCTGTCACCAGCTTTATCAGACACCATCTGTAAATAATGGAAAACACAGCTCCCTATCTCTGTAGCGCCTCTTTTCGCTTGAGTCTCGTCCCAAAAATAACAATGGATATTTTCATAGCCTTTAGAGATGTCCATTGTTGACACATCGTTTTCGTGATTTTTTTTTAAATCCGTCATAGTGAAATTGTAACTATTTAATTTAGATTTGTAATAGAATGCTGATGTTTCACCATTAGGACTTTGCATAATGGCTTGTACATCGTAACATACACAAGTATTGCACTCATCAATGTTCTTTCTGTCATTCTTTTTTTCCTCCCTGCATAACTTCTTTTCTTCCAAATGCGTATGATATTGATCCCTAAGATTCTGTTTAAGTGGTTCAGTAGAATTTTGGAACTGCAGGCAAAGATTGCATTGATCTTTTTTGGGTTGATAAAAGCCAGGGTTAAATTTTGTGTTAACAATTTCATAAAACGTGTGATATAGTCCAGCCGGGCGAGACCTTTCCTCTTGCAGTACTTCAAAATCTCTAAAGAGCTCTGCAATACTTTTACCACTGCTGATGTACTCTCTAGAGGTAGATGCTCTTAGATAATGTGACTCAATGCGGGGTATAGAGTTGATGAAGTTGGTGATGTCATTTATAAGCTCATCACTTACACTTTTATGACTATTGTGTTTGCCGCGTTGGTCATCCTTTATGAAGCTCCCAGTTTTTCTACTATCTTCATGTACATTTCGAATCATCTTATGAGAAATATCAATAGTATTAATAAAAAAGCTTTTGCATACCCTAACTCTTTCGTTGTCTACGGAAAAATAGAATGCATGGTTTGGATTTCGTGGTTTTTCGGCATTGGTATACTTGTACCTAAGTATAATCTGTGCGCTATTAGACAAAACATACATTCTTTGTAATTGTCTATCCGCTAATGCCCAAAATGCACTAAATAATTTCAACCTTCTGGAATCATCGATTCGCTCACTGCATTTTAAACTACATTTTTGGCCACAAGGTGGTTTCATATTACGTGCAGGAACCAATTTCTTCGAATGTATAGCTACATAGCTTTGACCCAAGTTTCGTTTCATTTTTTGCGTGTTTTGTATCCATTTGGTTGGATCTGCTTTACGTTTTCTTGATTGTCTTTGAATGTTATCATTTGTCATAGTTACATTGTTTGTATCAATCGAAGTTAGAGTTGCTGTGATCCGTGGACGTCGACGAAAATGTTCTTGTTTGTAAGTGGGATCGTCATCACTGAGGTCTACGTCGCTTTCCTCTGAATGTATTGGAGACATTATGTAATTACCTACTGTTCTTGATCTAACTGATGGCAACTCATCGCATCTCGATAAGGATGGCATGGAAATATTGGCTTTAGACGTACCTGGCTGAGGAACAAACTCGCCGCAAATCGGTGTCAATATGGATAGTGAAGAAATATTACCTGTACTTGGCTGTAGGTCGATGTTTTCATCTAAAAGTGGTCGGGCTGTGTCATGATTGTCACAGGAGCTTGTACTAGATGAAGTAGTACTTGAGTAACTGCTGGAACTCGAAATGCGTGAGCTACTGGAGCTGGACGAAGAGCTTGATCTAGACGAACAACGGCGAGTGATGGATTTCTGAGGAGTAGATATGATATTTCTACTTTCTATTAAATGGTCACTTCCTACAGAGGCAGCACAATTTTGTGATGATGGACTTTTCTCATGATAACTATCAAACCAAGTTTCTTGGTACTGGATGAAACCAGTTGTATTTTTATCTGCACTAGCGGACTCCCACTGCTTGTTCTCTTTTTCTTCATTAGAGTGAATCTGAAAATTAAATATATATAAATAAAACTTTGAAAATAAAAAAAATTAAACCAATTATAAAAATATTCCTAAATTGCATATTTAAATTAGTTACCTTTTCAGTTGCCAAAGATAGATCATCTTCCTTGTTACACTCCAATCTAAGGTGATTTGTTGGTTTCAACAGGTTCATTATTCTTTATGTCCGGGATTCCATTTTTCTGCAAAATAACATAACACAATATTAAATTAATAATACTATCTAAAATTGTGTACCTACTTAATAAATTTCTTGAAAAGTGACTATTCCGTATCGATACAAAAATAAAATGTAAAAATTTTACACTACAAACAATACATTGCATCAATGTAATAAACACTGTTTTAAATATTTGTAATTTACTACAACTTAATTATTTTTCTGTTAATTTAATCGGATCAATTAAAAAAATAGTTAAAATTTTCATGTAAATAAGGGCCAATTACAAAGTTCGCCATCAACAATAAAACAATTTACGTACTATAATGAACCAATAAGATATGATTCCGTATAACATCTCTACTTTTTGGCAATATAGCGAGCTATTATGAATTACACCCAATTATTAATTACATTTTACATAATATAAGGGCTAAACTAAAAATTGTTCTATATAATACAAAATGTTAACATACAAACTCACCAGGATTTTTGTCATAGAAGGGCACAAACACGAATCGCACGACGTTTGAACAGTCCGCCTTTGACGACTATGGACACGTTACTGATTGTTACCTTGTAGCAGTAAAAACAATAGGTTGGCGGGGAGAGTAAGAGAGGGGCACAAATATATTTACCGAGCAACTAATGTCCTATTTCTCTCTCTGTCAGCGCTAACCGGTAGAGAATTTAATTTTGTGCCCATAGCATCTAAAATCTCAATTTACCAAAATTTTGAGTTGATCCCTTATATTACTGAGGGTGCGATGTGCTTAAACCAGTTTAACAATGAGATTTTACTGAATAGCCGAAAATAATATCTTTTAAACTAAATAAGTAGTTAGAATATATCTTTAAATAAGATCATATTATAGTACAGTAAAAAAATATTAAATGTAAAATATGAAAATAAATACTAAATACTTTCAAAAACAGGTATACAAAGAGAATATTTCTTGTACATGTCACAACATGTATATGTTCAAATAATTTAAATGCTATCAATTTTCACTTTCATAGTAAACCAGATTTTCAGTGAATATAACATCATTGGACAATATTATCTATATTACGAGTATAACAATACTGCCATTAAGATCGCTGAGAAAAATCCCCTATTAAAATATAAAAATACAAAATAAAATACAAAAAAATAATGTTGACTGCATTGTATATTAATCAGCATCTAAAGCACAATCCAGTGATACACATTTTCGGTTTGAAAAGCTTGTGCCCCGTAACTCTACTAGTACTTTTATTTGAAACTATTTTAGGGCACTAATAGGATACGTGGTACTTTCTGGTACAGCAACATAAAAATATTTTATTTTAATACCATTTAAAATTTTTAGGTAAACAATGCGAAGCTCCTTTACTGATCACCTGCGAGAACAAACCATGCAAGGAGCCTGCTAGCTGTGAAACAGGAGCAAATGAGGTCACTGGTAACAATTTTACCTGTATTTGCACTGAAGGTATGCAATCCACATTACATATTCTTCAGTATAGTATATAGTTTAAACAGTGTATGCATTAAATTCTCACAAATGTTAATTTGAAAAGATATAAAGTTACGATAATTATCTGTCTGTAAAAGTCAAACGTGACAATGTTGCGTACCTTTTGGTTCTTCCGACAAAATACTACCGTAAGGTAGAAGGAGATATATAGAACCCACCGTATATAACATTCACTAGAGTATCACACTTTTTGAAGTGAATTTTAAAATTTAATTTTGATAATTAATGGTGTGAGTCTTGTTTATTTTTATAAGTATCGTTGTCTGATATTCATGTTAATAATTAATGATTTGGCCGAAAAACACACTGTGATGTCTAGATACTACAGTCTATTTTGTCTTCTTCTTTGGTAGTACGCGTATCTAATGAAATTTTTCCATAACTCCGGCGTGACATTTTATAACGCAGGCTTTTAAAAATTCATATATTTGAAAATTAAGTTTTCTCTCGCCTCTTGGTTTTTATTTCCTAATGATAAAGAATATATGGGTATATTTCTTTCACAAACCTTTCATTCTTTATAACGTATTTGTTAAATTCAGGTACATGTATCCTCACGAGATTTAATTAGTTACAGTTATTGGGAACTTTAAACTTCGAATTCGAACGGCATACCTGTCGGGATCATTGGAAAACGTTGAAAGAGGAACTTAAGTTGGTTTATGCCTGGTAAATCAAGCGAATTCAAGAATTCAGTTGGATAGTTGAAACTTCGTCTTGATTCACCACAGTATCGATGGACTTGTTGTCGTTTCGCCGGATGTTCCATTCTGAATGGTTAAGTTATGATAGTTTGATACTTATTTAGTACTTTTCCCATTCCAGAATTTTTGCTGACGTTGCATGTTGCAAGAGTTGTCGCAATTCTAGATGATGCAATGGTCAGTGCAATATTATTTTGTGATCGTATGGTTGCCAAAATGAGTAAGAGAAGCAAAGTCTTGCCTGTACCACCTGCATGTAATTCTCGCAGTTTAACTTTTCCACTGGCTAATTTTATGCATTTTTTTTAATGACGACACTTTAGTGAAGACTATAATCATTATTACCATTTGCATTTCATTACGTCATAATGAAATGCATCAAGATTTAAATCAGCGTGCAGGGCCCGTATTTTCGAAACCGTTCGAACGGAAGTCGTATGCGAGAGATGATGAATTTCGAACGAAAATCGATGATTCGTATTTTCGAGTTGATTTCGAACGCATCGTATACGACGATTTTCGTACACGACTGCTCGAGTGGGTATTCACCATTCGAATAGCGGTAAACACACGGAGTTTGACATTTCTGACTTTTGCATTTAATTTGGTTTTTAATTGTTTACATAAGTGAGATGGCCGGCCTAAATTTTTTAAATGAAAGAAATGTTTTAAATGCCTTAGAAGATGCAGAAATGTTAGCGAATGGGGAGAATAGAGTATACCATGCATTTTTAAACCCTCTTGAAGCCTTATCGGACAAACAATTTGGGCTTGGACAAACATTACAAGGGGCTATTTTTTACTTTTTATGCATGTTACAATAGGTATCAAGTTATACTTATCTACATTTTGCTTCGCCATTGTTTCCACTTTTTCTTTGCTCCTGGCAAAGCATTTAATATTTGGCCTAATTTCTGCCACATTGTTTGGGCAGTTTTATATATAAAATTGTTTGTAAATTTCCCACTTTTTAAATCGGGATTTTCTTCCATAAAATCTATCAGTTCTTTTTTTTTGTTCGGAAGATACAAATCCTCCGAACATGGAATTTTTATTTTCTTTGTTCATATTGGAAACAGAGAAAACAGATAAGTACGAAAGCACAAGCCAAAACACGTTAACACTGTGTAGAAAATTAAGCAAATCACAAAAAACTAAAAAATTTCAAGTCTGCTGCAACAAGTAAAATAAACTTGTCAGTTAAATAAATGTCGCCTGTCACCTCTACCTTTTTTTTTCTTAATTTCGTGCGAATTTGCGGCGTTGCCGGTGAATTTGGGTTAACGGATTCTCGTATGCGAATTAAACTTTCGAATTGCGTTCGAAAATACGCTTTTACGTTCGTGCACGATTTTCTTTCGTTCGAACTAATCGCATGCGAGTAAATTCGAACACATTCAAAAATACGACCCCAGTGATCGTCTTGATTGAGTTGTGCTTATTCGAATATTTGCAGCCTTCTTTCCAGTTGTTCAGTTGTCTCAGACTAACGGGTCTGAGTAGTACGTATTCGATCAGTTTCTAACCTGACTTATCGTTGTTCAGATAATTCAGACGAACGGGTCGCAGTGACATGTACTCGGAAGATTTTCCAGCCTCAATGCTCGTTGCTCGTCTGATTCTGAGGCTCGTAATGCTCTTTTCTTTCGTACTTGAGGTCAGTTGCTTGTCGCTTTGATTTTATTAGATGTCAATCAGCAATCCGAATGTCACAATCTATCCAATATAATTAAACCTGCTGTTTACACGCGGATGGAAATATTAATATTGACGGTGATCATCAATTCGCTGAGGAAAATTTGAATTTATCTAAAATAGTTTAATTTCTAATGAATTGTGCAAACTATTCGAAAAACGCTCTCAAATATAAAAATACGCACAATATTGTCTGTTCAATGTGAGCTGGACATCAAACAGTTTACATAAATTTTTATGTCACCCACAACTCCAAGACTAAGTCCAAGAAAATCTACTCCAGAAAATGTACTCTAGAAAATAACGCTGAAACGGCACCGTTATTTCTGACAATTTAGTGCTTACAATTGTGAATATATTATACATTAACCCATAAACCGAAATTTTATAATTTTAGAGTATTATTATTTCCTAATAACCTAATATTTTCTAATATTCATTTTATATTTTTAGGTATGGAAGGACCATTATGCGATACACCGTTCTGTATGAACACTCACTGTGATCAAGGATTTTGTAACGACAGCTTATTGGTACCGTTCTGTGAGTGCCCAAGAGGATTCGAAGGAAAGTTCTGTGAAATCAACATTAACGAATGTATCTTACCGAATGGAGGCAGTCCCTGTCAGAATCGTGGTGTCTGTATTGACGGAATTAATCGATATATTTGTAACTGTGAAAATACAGGTAAGGAGTGAGTGTTTTAATTGTCTAGTCATGATCAAATTTACATTGTGCTTTACTACAAGCTAAATTCCTAGACTTGCTATTGTGTAATCCTTGTAGTAAATTTACTAAATGTCAAATGTTTTTCTAGGTTACACAGGTCTGTTATGTGAAATAGACATCAATGAATGCCAGACCGATATGATTTGTGGTCGAGCTGGCATTTGCGAAAACACTCCCGGGTCTTACAGGTGTGTTTGTAAAGAAAAAGGGAAGTGCGGTCATCAATGCGATTTGGACGACCCTTGCGAGACTATAAAACCATGTCAGAATGGAATTTGCCAGCCCCAGTGTACAGATAAACCTGATTATTTTTGCGCATGTCCCGATAATTACGAAGGAAAGAATTGTACCAAATTAAAGGTAATTTATAATATTTTTGGTATACATATTTGTTTACTTTTCTATTGAAATCAAACATTGCAATTTCTTAAAGAACAGTACCTGGCCAAATTATTAGTCCAAGCAAAGAAAAATTTACTATATGGAGTTATTTCTCTCATGATTATGAATATATTTGAAAAAATTACTGTTGTGTTCTTTTTTGTGAATATTAACTCGTAGGTAATTAATCTGTACTAAAAAACCTAACAATTATTATAGTTAAATTTAATATTTTGTATCTCCGCCTTTGACTGGTAAAAGAACTTGAACACGTCGAGGCATGCTTTCGATACAGGCTTGAATAGTTTCCAGGAGGTGAGAATTATGATTCCACTTATATATGAGCGTTTCAAATAACTCCCTTTTATTAGTACTGTTTTTTTTTCTCTCGCAATCTCCCTTTTCATTAGTTATCACCCATTTTCAATAGCGTTCATATCGGGCGAGTTGCCTGGCCAATTAAGAACTTTAAATCTTTTTTGTTTTAAATAAATTGAAATACTCTTAGCCTTGTGGCAAGGAGCATCATCTTGCATAAATACGGGTTCCTCTTCTCCAGAAAACCATTCCTGCAGCTGTGGGAAAAGTCTATTCTCCAGTACTTTCCGGTACTGGTCTTTTCTCATCGTGTTTTCCACCACGTAGAGACGGCCTGTATCTTTGCCGGTTACCGCAGACTAGACCATGAGTTACGGTGGGTGTTTGATGGTGGGCACAATGCAGTCGGGTTTGTATTTCTAGTTGGGACGTCTCCGAACAAACTTAGTTTTTTCTGTCAAAACTTGAAAAACGGATTCGTCCGAGAAGCAGAACTGAAATCAACAATTTTTTTAGAAATTCTCATGTTCTTTTAGTTTTCGATATTAATATTTAAGCAAAACAACACAAATATACCTTTTTCCAGTATTCCACTGTTAAATTTTTGTATTTTTGTGCTTATACGAAACGTTTCTTTATCATAGCCGGAGTAAGCCTTGGCTTTCGAGCTGGTGTTCTAGCTACCGGTTTGTTTTCGATAAGTCTCCGATGATCTGTTCTTTCTGAAACATAAGTTCCTTCATTTTTTATCTCCTGCCAATTCCCCTAAGCATTCGTAGTGGTTTCTTTCTGTTTACTAGGCAAATATCCCTTATTTTGTAATCAGTCATAGGAGTAGTCACACGATATCTTCCGCTGTGACCCTTACGCTTTGGATCCACTGTTTTATATTCCTTACAGAACTTTTTCTATTTCTTTTCTCTCTCTCTCTTCCCCCCTCTCTCTATTCTCCCCTCTCTCTATTCCCCCCCTCTCTCTATTCCCCCGCTCTCTATCACTCTTTCTCCCCTTATGTGATCCTTCGCTTGTCAGTTTTCTCGAGGCTTATCTACCTACAATCGCTCGTATCACTTTAATTCATATCTCACGAAAATATCGCATATTTTTTCTCCATAATTTTTTTCACACTACTAGCTTTTTCTGCAAATCTCGGACTGCTGTCAAAAAACTGACAGCGTCGCAATATATCTAACTATATTAAACAACAACAAACACATTTTGAGTTTTCAACCTGATCTGATCTATTATTGTTTTGTGGTATTTGTTCTCAAAAAGGTTTTATTTCTGAAAAGATCAACTTTCGATCACGAGTCTCGCACAGCTAATAATTGCACTTCCATATTGTACGACGAGTATTATGGGTTATGGTACCTATTCTTTAAATGAGAAAATAATTAAATTCAACGTTTTCCTCTTTTCAATGCTTTTATTTTAATTTTTATAATAGGATCCTATAATAGGTATAGTTTGTTTCACGGAAAATGGTTGAGTGCTTAATGGTGTTGAGAATGAGTCTCTCAATAAACTACCGAAGTACACAGGGTTGCACTTAGAAAGTTTGTTATTTAATATATTTCATTGGTAGCTGTGTAATACATGATTATAAAAATTTATTAAATTATTTCATATGGTATTTTCAGGTTGTTCAAGTGAATATACTTGATAATTGAACAATTTTTAACATGAAGACAGTAGTTTTTTTGTTCTACGTGAATAATTGTAGTATATGGATCTAAATTCAGAAAGGTACTTTCCTTCACACTTTTTACAGGCTTAGCCTGTAACTGCCAGCCAAAAACTGGCGTGTTTAAAAGTTTATGCTCTTCCTAATCGGATATCGTTAAAAATGTACAGTAATAATAGTTCTATTTACAGTATAAATATACAAACGAATAAATAATGTACAAAAAATAGATGAATTGAAAAAAAAATATAGAAAAATATATACAAGTTAATATTTACAAAAAAAAAATAACCAAAATATATTTATGAATTCCTAAATACCTAATTCTGTTTCGCTGTCGCGAATTTTCTACGTTCATTACATGGCGTACTGAATTTTTCCAACTTTCTGGGGAGATCCCATTAACACATTTCCTTATTAATTCGACTACACTACCACTAAAAGTCGGAGAAACATTTTGTGACCTAACATTTGACTTTATTTGGTGCCACATATGCTCTATGGGATTAAATAAACAATAGTAGGGCGGAAGCCGTAACACTGTATGTCCCATGTCCTCGGCCAATGCGTCACAAACATATACTTTTTTAATAGAAAATGATTTTAGCACTTCTAACAGTTCATTTTTTAAATAACTTTCTTTAAAATATATATCGTTTTCTAACAGGTAGTTTTGAATTTCAATTTTCGTGTTATTTGCACTTGAAGATTTATGTAATTGACGACTGTGGTAACTTGCATTGTCCATTACTGTCACACTATTTTGAGGAAGGTTAGGTATAAGACAATTCTTTAATTTTTTGGATGGGCGTTTTATTTTCATTATCTAACTGTCAAGACGGATCATCAGAGCTTATACCCTTTTTTAATGATCAATGTGAATAATAAGCAGTTTCCTCTTGTTTTGACTGTTTTTTTGTCTTGTGTATGAAATGATCCCTTGTTTCCCAGATTGGAGAAATGTTGATGATGAAATCTAGAGATTGCGATTTATTATTACTAAAAGATTCTCCGAATGCGTCAAACGTGTCTGTTTTGGTCGTTAGGATAGCTTCTCAACAAGCCGTCGGATGCAACTAACGCGCATTCAACCTTGGAAGGTAAAGTGAAATAGAAAGGGTAGGAGGGAATCGAACTTGTCCCTGTATCCGAGAATCGTAATCTGTTCGCATGTAATCTTTGTTTTCGCTCTCAAAAACACAAAGGTGTCAAACCAACAGCAATTCGTTCTCACACAATGCTATCCTTCGTAGGCTGGATTGATATCAAACCATCCTCTATTCTCGACGAAGCTCCAACAGTTTGTATATTACTACAAACACAAAACAAAAACAAATAAAAACGCTGATTTATTTAGTACAATGTAACTGCTTCTATAAAATATTTTTATATTATTTTTTATTGTTATAAGATTTTATTTATTAGTTTCATCTTTACTTTCTAGTTCAATTTTATCCGAATCTTAAATATGTAAGTGATATGTATGTTATGAAAACTTGATATTTTTGTTTAAATAGTATCATCTGTCTATTATTATCTACAATACAGCAATAATACGTTAGGAACAATGTAGGATTTTAGAAAATACTAGAATAATTCTTAAACCATTTTCTGATCCTGCATGTAAAATTGTTATTCTTTTTCCTTTGTTTGATGGAGCTTTCATTTTCATGAGTGTCAAACCATGTCTCGTCCAGATAAATTATTGGTCGATCTTCTGTACGGTACTTTCTTATGGAAGTTATATATTCAGTACGCCACTTTTGTAAACGATGGGACTCCATAAGCACTTGCCTTTTGTCAATTGTACGATATCTGAAGCCCATTTTAGACAAAATCCTCCAAAGACTAATGCGGCTACAGTTTATTTGTGTATCATCATTAGTAAGCCGTTGTTTTAAAGCATCTAATGTAGGTATCTGTTGCTCTTCATACATTGTGTAAATTTTTCGTCTTATTAAGTCCTTATCACTTTCGTCAATACATTTGGTAGAACCGGCATCCTTACGCTTCCTTCTTGACTTAATGGGATTTTATGTAATTCTGTTCACTGTGGTTAGAGGTATTTTCGTTAAATCAAATATTTCACTGGCAGCAATATTAGGAGTAAGTCCTCTTGTAAGTAGAGAACTATATATTGTTTTTACGATTTCTCTAGCGTCAGAAGATAAATGCCTTTTTTTTGCTGGAACACTGGAAGAAGCACCATCAGTGTTTTTCCACGGACGCCACATAATGCTGTTTTATAGGTATAAATAGGTATAACACTGATAACATGTAACACTTTTAACCAAAGGAAACAAAATGTATATTTAAAAATTTCTCATCGGTTTTATATACTTTTACAGATTATACAGAATAGAGGGGACCTGTATAATTATTCCAGGAAATACTTAACGATAAACAAATTTATTGTGGCCATTAAAAGATCAACCATTGATAGTGAAACTCACTCTTAAAATGTTTACAAGTTTATGAAATAAAATGTATTCTAATCGTTTTTATAATTTTATACGATTTTTTAATCGTTTTTATATTGCCAGGAATTTATGATACAAACAAGATAACGACACTCCACAGTAGCTTCAATTTTTGCTTGAATACTTAGCTGCTCAACTAATGTTGACTAAGCTAGGGTACTTGCGGTCGGGTTTTATTGCAATCATTAAGCACTCAACCATTTTTCGTGAAATAAACTATAACAAATACAATTTATAGTTAATAGATTATTTTCATATATATATATATATATATATATATATATATATATATATATATATATATATTTAATGTTATTCGTCAAAATAAAAGAATAAAATCTGTGTTTGCAATAACTCTCTATTGACGATATACGCATTAGGGAAGGTTTCAAACTTTTAAGTAGTGTCAATAGCCTACTGTGTTATATGACATAATAGTGTTGACATACTGAGTTGATACAATAAGCTGCGCCATTGTTGCTGTATCAACATCCAAAAATTTAGTGTGTTACCCATGGTTAGCACAAACAGCAAAAACTCTCGATTTTTTTTAGATTTTGTTAAGTAAAAAATTAAGAACAAAGTTTGCGACTGGTGCATATCGTGGTTATTGATACCAGGTACATTTTGAAGTGATTCCAGCAAATAATAGACTCATGAAAAACGTCCAATTCAAATAAGATCTTTAAAATCCTTAAATCAGAATTCAAAAATTAATAATACGCATTTTAAACATTCAATATAGGAATATTCAGTATCTTGAAATGAACTTTTGCACATCGAGAGAAAACATGTATTCAATTGGGTCTATTCGTAAACAAAGGGCAACACTGAATGCTTTTGCAAGTATACCCGGTTCGCTATTCCCAGTCCGAACTGTCTAGTGATTTTAGTAATTATTTTTTTGAAAGTTAGTTACTTTTGACAGACTAAAAGTGGCTGGAAATGACTATACAACCAAGCACACGTACTTATAGCCAATATTCTTAGTAAACAAACTAAATAGTAAATAAAATAGAACTTTGCGAATTACAGACTATCAATATTTATTTATCTGCACCATATAATAAATAATTATGTTAAATTATAACAACTAAAATATATTTTTTAAATATATACTACCCAAAATTTGATGGGTTTAGTATACACTTCCACTATTTCGAATAATTCTTCTTTTTTTCAAAGAAAGAAGTCTGCAATAGTAGTATACTTGAGCTATTAATACTGAGAAGTAGGAATTGTTGTGTTGTAGGTTTCCGACAATGAGTCTGTCAAAATATGCCCTAGCTAAGCGAATAGACAATAACATGATTTTGATAAATTTAACATGATTTTGACAAATTTAACACGATTTTGACAAATTTATCAATAATTCTAACCAGTTGATTGTACCGTAACGACATATAAATAACAATGCATTGTATTGTTTTTAGGTCGCGGCAAGTCAAGCAGAAGGTGGAATAAATATACTGTACATAGTCCTTCCCATCGGCGCAGCCATTCTCATAGGAGCAGCTGCTGTCCTTGCGGTATTCTTCAACGTAGCTCGCAGCAAAAGGGCCACCAGAGGTACATACAGCCCGAGTGCTCAAGAATTTTGCAATCCACGAGTTGAACTAGATCATGTGTTGAAACCGCCGCCCGAAGAAAGACTTATTTAAATTATTTCAATTGTTCAAATGTTCGTATAAATTGATTTTAATACATATACGAGGTGTGTTCTGTAAACCACAATTTCTTTGTTTTTTGAAATACTCTAATTTGTATAAAGTTCTTCGGCGTTTTAAACCATTACTACATAGATTTTTTATCTTTGAAAACAGAACATCCCTCGTATAAGCGTGATTGATTTTAACCGTAAATAGTGATGAAAGACGATATTGTTTAAAAAGGCTGTAAATTTTTTTCTTCAATACTTTTCGTGTCTTGTACAAGTGAGGAAAATGTACTGAACGTATGCATTATTTCAGTAGCAAAAGAGCGTAAGAGTAATTATTACATTTGTAATATGCCCGATCTTCAGAATATGGTGTTTGTGTTGTCAAATTGTTGTTGTACATAGCAATTGTTATGTATTTTTTTTGAATTCATCGCGAAACAATATAAAAATGTAATAAAAATTGGTAAAGGTTACATTTAGGAATAGTAAGCGTAAAAGGAAGAATTAATGACAATGCTAATTGAATGTATATTGACCATGGTACAGAAACTCTAAAAACAAAATATTTTTACCCTATTAATAATTACTGAAATAACCCAAGCGTTACATATATTTGCCTCACATTGTATTTTAGTCAGGTTTAAATGATGGGTAGAAGTAAAAATGGTAGTACACCTTCTTTTATCGAATTTGAGTTAAGATGATATTAGCTACAACCGTTTTTTCTACCTCGTTAAGTTATGTCTTTAAGTTTGTTTGTTTATTTGTTTTTCTTTTCGTCAGTCACTTATTAAATGAAATGTCGGAAGCATGGTACGACATGTTCCACTTAATCTTTTATCACTATTTATGTTGATTTGAGTGCATCGAATGATATTTGGCAACTTGCATCCTCCATTTTTAGTCTGAACCATCGAAATGGCGTTTGCCGAATCGGGCTTTGACTAATCGAGGGTGGTTTGACTTTAATCTACCTATTATATCTAATTTAATCTTTAATCTGATCAAGAAAACCTACGACTACTTTTATCATTTAGTTTTCAAAACTGTTTTCTTTTCGTTTAATAAAACGCTTTTCCAACCTTGTAACAGATTCCAGTCTCAAAATCTTACCGAAGTTTCGAGGATAGGCTTACCGTTTGGTTCAAAACTTAGTCTTTGGAACGTTTTTTATAGTCTTCTTCTTCTAGTACAGTAGTAGTTGACTGCAACTTGCTTCAATTTCACACGGTCCTCCATGATAGTTGGGTTGGTAGTTAGTCCCAATGTGGGGCCCAGAATAACTTGGCAAGACGGTTATTAGGGACATATGGACATTGCCATGACATCTTCTTCCTCCTCTTAAGTGTCTTCTCTGTTGAGGTTGACAATCAATATGGCAAATTTCTCTCTGTTCTGTGCTTGATGAATTAATTCATTTCCTCTTGTGTGGGTCCAATCTCTGATGTTTCGTAGCCAAGATTTTTTCTTTCGTCCGATGCTCCTTTTACCTTCAATCTTGCCTTTTAATATTACTTGGAGCTGCTCAAATTCCCTATGGCGCATGATGTGTCCTAGATATGACGTCTTTCTAATTTTGATTAACACATTTGATTTGCAATTAACACAGCGATGCTCTCTGTCTTGAGCTGTTCCAAACAGTTGTTCGACTCTCCGTACCTCGGTCCATTTTCTGACATTCTTCAACCACGCCCATCTTAGGCGTTGGATTTTAATTTCTTGGACGATATAGCTAGCGTTAAATGCCTGTTTGACTTCGGCATTTGTTCTTATTCTATATTGCTTAGTCATCGGATCGTGATAGTGTCCGACAAGTCTGGAACAGGAATTAGTCACACAGTACTAACTCTAGCGAATTAGGTGGACCGATTCGTATCCTAGTTGGTGCAGTTTAGAGAAGAAACAACAGTATTATGAACGAGAGCGTTGTCTTAATGAACAGGGCGTTTTATTTTCATTATCTTACTGCCGAGACGGATCATCAGAGCCTGTACCCTTTTTTTAATGATCAATGTGAATAATAAGCAGTTTCATCTTGTTTTGACTGTTTTTTGTTTTGTGTATGAAATGAGTCCTTGTTTCCCAGTTTGGAGAAATGTTGATTTGATGAAATCTAGAGATTGCGATTTATTATTACTAAAAGATTCTCCGAATGCGTCAAACGTGCCTGTTTTGGTCGTTACGATAGCTCCTAAACAAGCCGTCAAGTGCAACTAACGCGCATTCAACCTTGAAAGATAAAGTGAAATAGAAAGGGTAGGAGGGAGTCGCACTCGTCTCTGTATCTGAGAATCGGAATCTGTTCTTATCTAATTTTTGTTTTCGCTCTCAAAAACACAAAGGTGTCAAACCAACAGTAATTCGTTCTCACACAATGCTATCCTTCGTAGGCTAGATTAATATCAAACCATCCTTTATTCTCGACGAAGCTCCAACCGTTTGTATATTACTACAAACACAAAACAAAAACAAATAAAAACGCTGATTTATTTAGTACAATGTAACTGCTTCTATAAAATATTTTTATATTATTTTTTATTGTTATAAGATTTTATTTATTAGTTTCATCTTTACTTTCTAGTTCAATTTTATCCGAATCTTAAATATGTAAGTGATATGTATGTTATGAAAACTTGATATTTTTGTTTAAATAGTATCATCTGTCTATTATTATCTACAATACAGCAATAATACGTTAGGAACAATGTAGGATTTTAGAAAATACTAGAATAATACAAGATAAGCTTTAATATTTATTTAACGAGCCAGTGTATTAATAAGGGCGATCAATAATCGAAATATTTATTGCTTGAGATTATCAATAGCCATTTTAATCCAGGAAGTTAAACAACTTTTCCGTCGACTGTGATTTTAATAAAATGGGAAAGATTACTTACTTTATGTTTTCAGTTAACGCAATTTTTATGTTGTAATGACTTGTTATTTTATGTTTTTTTTTTTGAAGTTTTGTTAGTCTAAATATTGATGCTCGAATTATAAATATACCGAATGAAAGGGAACTCACCGATTCATTATTGTTGTGTCACATGCTCATAAATTTCTGATGTCACTATTATTGATAACAGTATTGGCAATGTCAAATTTAATCTGGATAATAAATGGGCGCTCACAAAAATGGACTACGAGATATAGGTTTTCGGACACTATACGGTAGTAATCATCTGATGTGGCATAGCGTGATTTCATTAAGAAAATGATTCTCTGTTTTTAGGGAATCGTGTACATTATTATCATTTTCAATATTATTGATTACAAAACACAGATGACAATGATTACCGTCAGTAATATTTAAAAATTTTTTTCTGTGTCTTCGTCTTAAGAAGTTAGAAATTAGGATATTGGGCAGAATTTTGCCGGAAGTAAAGTTAATTCGATTGTGTGAATAGGCTTTTTCATCACAAATTTGTTCAGCCATTTTTTTCGTACTGTTTGTTATAAACAAGAATATTAGGTTAGGTTATGAAGTATTAGTAACGATTATTATTACTATAAATAACAATAAAGTACCTGTATACCAATAATTAACATAAAAAATACTAAAGAAATTATAGTTGTTGAAAACACAAATACGAAAATAAATAAAGTGCTTCAATTAGCAAATCATTTTTTATGATACCTGTATGTGTCATTATAGAGTATGTAAAAATGATCCACGCTATAATTAATATTAAAGACAATGCATATTATTCTATAAATTTTTTAAATACTTTATTTCTATATAAACACATCTCGTGCTATTCCTTCAATATTTTATTTATATTAAATAGTATTCAGTACATTCATTTATCATTTTTAACATTAAATGATCTATTTTATTGATTTTACAATATAATAATATTGTTGATAATTAGTATATTTAATGAAAATCGATTGAAATAAAGAATTAGAATAAAAATTATAGATATTATGTGCATAGTAATGAAGTAACAAAGACAAATAAGTAATGATACATAACCTCTCAATTGTTGATTAAAACAGTACGAAAAAACATGCCGGTAGTGCATGGGCTCATCACATGTTGAAAAAAGAACCTGCTACTCTGAAAATCAATGTAATTTTACTGAAAAATTCTATATACGATAGTGTTGCAAACGTAACTTACTTACTGATGTACCTTTATTACTAGAAACAACAGCACCATCAGAAATGAATTTCTGTACTTATCCTTTATATAATACTTTGGATTTCTTCATTGTACCATAAAATAAATTTGTCGTAAATTATTCCGTCCAATGGTGTGGCCTTTCGGTCAATAAACCTAGTTTCACTTTATTTGCAGTTTCGATATTATCTAGCTTATTAATTGAAATTATGCCTAATTAGCTCATAAATAAATAACATTTACAGACATTGTTTAATCGGCGATTTGATATTTTGCGATTTAAGTTGTGTGTATATTTCGTATATAGTGAATATGTATGTTTGGTTGCCTCTATTCAGCACTAATAGAACATTTTTATTAATTAGTGGTAATTAAACAACGATTTTGTGTACATTAATGTATGCCTCATAAATGCACAGTCGACGGAAAATACACATAAATTACTTAATTTTGTAATTAGTTATTTTATTCGCGACTTTGGCCTTTAATCTAGTATTTTTACCATATTGACACAATGTTAAATAATTAACAAAGTATTTTTGCAATTGTCTTTCTGTTTCATAACTGTTTTTATACAGAGACGTATTTTATATATTCCGTTCACTCGTCCCAGTCACAACTGTCCATCATTTCTTGCTACGTTTGTTAAATTTTCACTGACTGTCAGTGACTAGAAATTACTATACAACCGAGTATACGTGCTCATAGCCAATATTTAAACAAAAAAATGTTCACATGCAGTTTATTAACAAAATAAAACTGCATCAATTAAAATAACACTATTTTTTTTATTTTATATAGTCATTTATAGATTAATATGTACAAAAGGATAGTTTTTAATGAAAATTAATGAATATTAACACCCATTATTCATGATTATTCTTCTTTTTTAAATGAAAGACGTCTGCAACAGTAAGTGTATATGCGCTATTAATACCCAGAGATTGACATTTTTGTGTTGTATATTTCCGACAAGAAATCTGTCAAAATATTCGGAAGCTGTACAAAGCCAATACATCGGCAATAGTGCTACACTTCTTGGCATGTGACAAAGACCGATGCTGAAGTTCGTATGACAATCAACATCATTCTCTCGATAAATACTAATCTTCTTAAACCGTAACTTATAAAATCTTCCTGGCTTGTGTTTAATATTTTTCAATACAATATTCACTTTCTTATAAACTCCATAACCTTAATAATCTCCCATGATTAATTAATAACGATATAAAAGTCGTTTCCTACAGCTACGCACTTGCTTTAAGAGCGTAGGCGCAAATATCGGGCCAATGCTTTATAAATGCCATCATTTTTTTCGAATCCTAAGAAAACTAACAAATATTTTTAAAAATTTAAACACAGAATGAAACATTACATTAATACCGAGACCGGAAGACCGGAATTAACTTACTTATTAATTTTCTCGGGATTCAAAAAAATGAATTTTTTGTATTTAAAAAACATTGGCCTGAAATTTTGCGCCTACGCATGCCCTTTTGTCGCATGGGTATGTAAGATACATCGTACTATAATATGCTTCAGCTCAGCCTGCCGACGATAAATGTTCTCTCACTTCAACCTGACAATAACGATACTCTCTCGCCCTTATGCCAAACATTTGTGATCACTTGACAATCTCCATCTTGTAGGTTGTTTTCTCTATTGTTTAGGCAACCTCATCTCTTAACGTAATTCGAGCTTCTTTTTCTCATCGGACCTCATCCAGAATTTTATGCTAGTCTATTTTGGCCTGCTGTAAATCCTTCTTACTATATTTTCCGTAAAAATTTATTCATATGGTCTACCCATCTCTCTCTCTCTTGTCATTTCCCCATTACTGAGGATCACGATTTCTTCCAATATTCCTAACAATTTTTCTCCATTGGTCTCTATCTTCAGCTGTTCTAAGAGCTTCGCAGAATGAGTTTTCAACTGAATTCATGATTTGGTCGGAACATCTAGTTGGTGATCGTCTCCCCGGAACGTTTCCAGAAACAATTAATCTTCCAAACGATCATCACCTTTGCGAACCACGTGACCGAACAATTGCATATAGTAGACAGCCTTTTTATATAATCTCGAGCCGGTTTAGAATGGAAACGTTGGTCCTATGAGCTGTCCAAGGTATGCGCAGCATTTTTCTCCGGCACCACATCTCAAAGGCATTAATTTTTTGGCGCTTGTGTCCGCGAAGAGTCCAAGTATCTGCCCCGTATAGAAACATTGAGAATACAAGGACATCATCGTAATATTTTGAGACATAGATCTGTCTTTCCAAACTTTGGTTAGTTCACTTATTGCATTTTTTGCCATACCAATACGTCTCCGAACTTCTGCTTCACAGTTACTATCGTTAGTTATACTAGATCCGAGATAGACAAAACTGTCCAGTATATGGTATTCCTGTAACATGTGAGTCAGTTGAATAGTGTGGAATCTGTCGACCACATATAATCTGTCTTAGCTTTATTGATTTTCAGACCAACTTTATTGCTTTCGTACTCAATTCTTCGCAGGAAATTAAACATATCTAGCTCATTTACTGCTATAATGCATCAGCAAATCTTAAATTGGGGATTTTCCTACCAGAAACTGTTACTTCACTGGCCAATCCATCTAAAGCCATCCTCATGAGATGTTCACCATAAATATTGAATAAATCAGGTGACAACACGCATCCTTGCATAACACCTCTCTCGGTCTTGAATTGGTCTGCCCGTAGACGTTATTAATTATACTGATTCCTAGGTAGTGCTCACATTTTTTTATTTTTATTTATACGCCCTACTAAAATAGTCAATCTTTTTTAAAATGTGTGTTTTTTTAAAATAAAAATCCAATTTTGAAAGCACTTGACCAAATTTTGGAACAAACTAAATTATGTGATGAATTGATTTTCCATTTTATGTGATACTAAATTAACAGATATTAGAATTTCACATGAGTTACAAAAAAATTAATAAAAATAATTTAAAATCTTAATGGTTCCCATTCGGATAAACTGTAACATTAAGCCAGGTCTCTAATAGTAAATTTAAATATTACATAATGTTCAAGTACCTATTGAAAATTGTCTACCTCTATACTATAAATTGTTCTAGAAAGACGAAATTTTTTTTGGAGTTGCAACTTTGTATATTAAACATACTATAGTGACTGTCAAATGATCGCCCTATTAGTTAAGTTTGAACTTTAAGGACCTTTTTGTAAACAGACTGCTCTTGTTTTAGCTTTTAAAATGTTACATATATTTTTTTATTATGATTCAAGTTGTTTTTTTATGATCAATTTTAAATTCCATATTGCGATTATTGAATAGAATAAGACAGATGGTTCACATCATATATTATTTAAGTTTTTTTAGATCTGCACTAATTTAAAATACTTTTTCTTAAACATTGATGAAACGGTTGTTTTACTTGAAACTGATATGTAAACAATACCGAGAAAGGAACCGTCCATAAGAA